CTGTGTGTGTGTATCTGTGTGTGTGTGTATCTGTATCTGTGTGTGTGTGTATCTGTGTGTGTGTATCTGTGTGTGTGCATCTGTGTGTGTATGTATCTTTGTGTGTGTATCTGTGTGTGTGTATCTGTGTGTGTGTGTATCTGTGTGTGTGTACCTGTGTGTGTGTGTGTGTCTGTGTGTGTGTGTGTGTGTCTGTGTGTGTGTCTGTGTGTGTGTGTATCTGTGTGTGTGTGTATCTGTATGTGTGTATCTGTGTGTGTCTGTGTATCTGTGTGTGTGTATCTGTGTGTATGTGTGTATCTGTGTGTGTGTCTGTGTGTGTATATGTGTGTGTGTGTATCTGTGTGTGTGTCTGTGTGTGTATCTGTGTGTGTGTATCTGTGTGTGTGTCTGTGTGTGTATCTGTGTGTGTGTATCTGTGTGTGTATCTGTGTGTGTGTCTGTGTGTGTATCTGTGTGTGTGTGTCTGTGTGTGTGTATCTGTGTGTGTGTATCTGTGTGTGTGTGTATCTGTGTGTGTGTCTGTGTGTGTATCTGTGTGTGTGTGTGTCTGTGTGTGTATCTGTGTGTCTATCTGTGTGTGTGTGTATCTGTGTGTGTGTGTATCTGTGTGTGTGGATCTGTGTGTGTGTATCTCTGTGTGTCTGCTGGTGTGTATCTGTGTGTGTGTCTGTGTGTGTTGTGTCTGTGGACCCCCCTAATGGAACATCTTCGCCGGTTAGAAACATTTAGGCTGGCCTGCCTACGATCCATCCTGGGTTTAACCAGACTGGATTGTGTGAGGAGCTCACAAATCCTTTAAAGATCTGGGCAAGGTCCCATCGGTGAGCTCCTCCGGCGGGCAAGGCTGCGATGGCTGGGTCATGTAGCCCGCATGCCCAGCCACCGCATGCCGAAACAGCTTTTGTTTGGCCGGATTGAGGGGGCTAAGCGGGCGCGGCACGGGCTAGAGAAGAGATGGAGTGATGTGGTACAGGAGGACGTGGAGCTGGGTGGACTTGCCGATGACTGGTACCAGCGGTGTCAAGATCGGCCTCTGTGGAGGAGGCTCGTGAAGGATGCTACTGGGCAGTTGGAGGCAGTCTCCCTCCAACAACAACGGAGGCGGAGGACCGACGCTCAGAACAACGAGCGGAGCGCCGGGTGGCTAAAGCACAGCAGGTTGGCACAGTAGGGGGCACAGGTGGTGCATCAGCCAGTCATCTCAGTCAGTCGACCCGTGGCACCTGGGTCTGCCCCGTGACCTCCTGCCAGCGGGCGTTCGACACTTCACGTGGCCTCGGGGTGCACATAGCCTGGCACAAGCGTCGTGGTGACGTCACCGCCACTTAGTGGCGAATGGCGGTTGTTGTTGTTGTGTCTGTGTGTGTATCTGTGTGTGTATCTGTGTGTGTGTATCTGTGTGTGTGTATCTGTGTGTGTGCTTAATGTGGGGAGCGATAGTGTAGCGGTTAGCGCTACGCTGCGCTATGAACCCGGCGACACGGGTTCCATTCCCGCTAACGGCCAACACCAGTGACGATTATCTGAACCGGTCCCGGGCCTCCCCTAGGTCGACTCAGCCTAAAATGAGTACCTGGTGCGGTGTGTAAACATCGCCACTAAGGAGACAAAGGCGGTCGGGCGTGGTGCTGGCCACCCACCCCCTCGTGTACTGTTCCGGCCTTCATAGGTGCTCGCTAACAGCACTTTCCCCTACAGTCTGTTAAGGCTATATGGGGGACCTTTATCTTTGTCTTTTGTGTGCATTTGCACGCACCCTGTGACCTGGGTTCGACTCCCCGTTAACATCAGTGGCGTGGAATAGTTTAACCGCTTCTGTGTTTCCTCTAGGTCGACTGGGCCTTAAAAAGCACCTGCGATTCGGTGCGTTAACATCAGTGTCAATTATTTAACACGTAAGCTTTCGCGACCAATATTATCCGTAATATTGTTTTGACCCAGCCAATACTAATGTACTAATTGGCTGTGTCGGGTGGTGGCGAGTTTAACGACGCATTGATATTTACACGATCTAACCCCAAAAATAACCTAGTATGGATCATCAATTATAGATACAGGCGACTGGTCGTGATGAATGGGGGTTGTGTATGTAATACATTTACACACACATATATATATACCTTGGGGAGGCGGTGGCATTGTGGTTAGCGCACTGCTGCACTTCGAACCCGGAGGCCTGGCGTTAATAGGTGCACGATAACAGCACTTTTGTACACATAGTGTGTGTGTATATATAGTGTGTTTGTTATATATTTTGGTGATGTTAGGGACAACGCGTCATCATGTCGCGGTAATGACCCCGTTCGCCCAGACGCAGATCAATTCGGGCAAAGAGACGCGGCGTGAGCATCGCACACTGGGGCCGCTTTGCACGTGGCCTCTAATCCGCGTCCTGTTGACTCACAAGGGAGCGGAGGAGGAGGAGGCATCAACTACGACTGGCGAGAAAAGGGAGTCGTGTTCCTGACTGATCAATTGCACAATCGAACACGTGGGATCACAGCGACGGTTGAAGCAATCTAAAAAGAAAAAGTTAATCTACGGTGTGTACGTGTGACGTGCTTTGAAGCGAGCGTTCAATTTGCTTCGGGGTTTGCACCCAGAGAGAGAAAGTGCGCCCGAGAGGGTGGTCCCTAGCGGAGACGGAGCGGCCAAATGATCTCGGATTGCTCTACATCGCATGATCGTGCGGGATGGTGACGGGCTTGTGGAGGAGACTCTTCATCCCGCAATGGATTGGTCATGGCTGCTGCTGCTGCTGCTTTAAAATCGTGGAGTCAAAACTCTCTATTGTGCTGATGCGTTCACTGCGTCGTGTCGATGCGTCCAGGAAGTGGGCGATAGGCATTGTTTACCATTTGCTGTTTACAACTGAGTGGAAACAGCAGAAGCAGAGACGCCAGATATTGACATTGCTGTGAGTGCAGTGCACACAAGCCAAGCAGCCTTCATCAGGGGGCTCTCAGTCTAAGCGATGGCTCCGAATGGAGGAATCCTAACGTGTGAGCCTTAGCATCCCCGATGAAGATAGTGACGCGCAAACAATGAGGCCTTCGTCACACAAAGATGTCCCGTTCAGCCTTTGTCTCTCGGCCATCGTTCCTCGGAGGGTTCTTAGAAGGAACCTCAGAACCCTGTGGAAGTGACAGGAGGAACCCCTCTTGACGACCGCTGCGCCCACAACCCGCGTAGTTGTGTAGCCTTCCTCAGTGGTTGTGAGATATTGGCAGCAGGCTCCCTTGGCTTTGTGTCCACTGCTCTAAAGTGCACATACCCGCACGCACGTGTCTCGCGTGGGTCAAGATCTCGTGAGGAGCGGTGCACGAAGCGGTTAGCGCGCTGCGCCCACGACAACCGGCAACCCGAGTTCCATCGGTGTGTGGACACGTGCCATCGGTGTGTGGACACGTGCAATCGGTGTGTGAACACGTGCAATCGGTGTGTAAACACGTGTCATCGGTGTGTGAACACGTGTCATCGGTGTATAAACACGTGTCATCGGCGTGTGAACACGTGCCATCGGCGTGTGAACACGTGCCATCGGTGTGTGAGCACGTGTCATCAACAGCACTTACCCCGTCAAACCCTCTGTAATTGCCCAACGGGGGATCTTTGTCTTTGTATATGCGTATGTTGGACATTATACTGGTAAGAACGAAGTTGTAAACTGAGTGTACCAGCCTGCAATAGATTAATGTGTCCGTCCGTCCGTCCCCTTTCAATACTTTAACGAAGTGAAATCTCGTGCTGTTGGGTGTAAAAAAAATTCCAATGTTCCTACCAGCCCACCCTGCAAGGACCTGTTTCTATACATACAGACATTAGCTCATACACCTTTGTATTGCAGTAGTATAGCTTTGCACATATACACGCAGTTGCATATAACCACCGACATTTACATATTTACATTATAATGAACAAATCTAAGTACATTTACGCTTGCAAGCGAGTGTATGCAAACATTAGTATCCGTTTGAAGGGGTATGCACGTGAAGGTGTATTTATGTGTACATTGGGATGTGTGTGCGTACGTGTGTATACAAAGGGGGCAGTGCGTTTGTATGTGGATATGAAGGCGATGAGGTGGGTGCCAATGAAGGTGTGTGTGTATGCGGGCGTGGATGAATGTCTAATTTATCTGGATATAAGGGTGCGTGTGTTAATGCGGGTGTACGTATATGTGTATGGAGTAAAGGCGTACGTGTGTATGAAGCGGTGTGTGCGTGGGTTCTGCAGAGACACCGTGGCACACGGTGAGCAGACCCTGGAGGTGATTGGGCGATGTCACTACGCAGGTGTGGGAAGCTTTCGCGCTGCGAGCTGACAGCACAGACGCGACCTGTGCCATCGCAGTCACATCACAGCGTCACGCACGCGACTCCATTCACGCACTCATCCCATTCATTCATGAATTATTTGAACCCAGTTAGCTGTGGTCACAATGGACGCAGTGTCAAGTGTCACAATCGAACTGCAAGCCTGGAGGTCGCGTCCTCTAACGGGTTAAATCACACCGTTAGTGGTTAAAAAATTGCACATTCCTATGGCGGGGACCAGTAGATGCATTTTTTAAAAGAACTGTTATTGGATTCCAAAGTGGTGCGACGACTGTCGTATTACCCACCACTAAATCATGATGGTTGTGGTGCTAATGGTAATGCTGCTGCTGATGATGATGCGAACATAAACAATGACCTGAATTGCAACTCATAACATCACGACTGCGGCCTCCTGCTGCACTCTTACAAACCCAAGCTGAGACATTGCCCGACCTCAAAATACATACACACACAAATCAGTACTCGACACATCCACTCTGCAATCCACCAATTCAACAACGACTTCATACATTAGTTTTACAATAGTACACACACCATCACCACCTCCACCTTCCTCGCCACCATCACCACCCCCCGATCACCATCGCAGACAGCGTCACAATCACCGCCACCGTGAACACCACCACCACCACCACCTCCCCATCATCGTTCACTCACCTTGAACGCCACGGGCAGAGTTTTATTGCAGCGCCAGTGTGAGGGCAGCACGGAGCACAGGAAGTTGGGGCTGTCTGTGCGCACCAGCTCCCCGGGGTGGTCAGCCAGCACGTCCGCCGTCGCGCGCTTCGAGTGCAGCAGGGAGCCGGCGGCCCCCGCGGCGGCCGCGTCTTGGCAGTTGGCCGCAGGCACCCCCATGGCCCCGGCAGCCCCCGTGCCCAGCTGGTGCTGCTGGTGCTGCTGGTGCTGCTGGTGGTGGTGGTGCAGCAGCGCCCCGTCGCTGGAGCCGCCGAGTCCCTCGGCCGCCAGTTTGGCCACGGGTGGAGCCGCGAAGCGCCGCCCGGCACCGCCGCCCGTCTCTACGAGAGTGCGCATCGTCTCAGTCGTCTGCGCGTCCGCCTCGCGTGTCCGTGCTGCGCCGAGCGGTGTGGGGTGAGAGATGTCTGGATGGTTCCCCGTATGCCCGGAGGGCTGTCTGTCTGCCTGGACGGCTCAGAGGCAGGCTGTCTCGATATGTGCCTGTCTGGCTGTCTGGATATCTCTCTGTCTGGCTGACTTCCTGTCCAGATATTGGCGTGCCTGGAGGGCTGCCTGTCTGGATATCACCCTGCCTGTCCTGCCCGCCTAATCCACAGCACCTATCTCAACGTATCTCCCGTACTTGTGAGAGGCATGCACCTGCTGCAGACTCAGCTGCGCTCACGTTGCAGTCTGTGCGTGCAGTGCGCGCGTACGAGCAGTCTGCTACTACTTACGCATAGCTGCTGCCCTTCCTGATTGAAAAGCCAAAACTTGCACCGTGCACAGAGGCCGGCACCCACGCCTCCGCCACCACAGACGTGAGAACCAAACAGCGGGGAGAGAAATGTCAGGCCGAGCTAAGAGCCGCTTCCCGTAAAGCGGTTTAAAATAATAGCAAGTAGCTGCTGTGAATTAATAATACTATCTGTCCATGGATGCTGTGGGGACTCGAGTCGAGATTGACAGGTCGCTTTAAACGCTGCTACCGCTGGTGCCGTCTTCTATGCAAGACTTACGCCGTCAGACACATCTACGATGACAGTATTTATATAGACTGTCGTGATTCTGCGGTGCGTAGGCGTGTTAAGAATATGAGCTGCCGTGTAAGACTGACGCTATGAGACACATGCGTAATTACAGTATATTACACTATACTACTTACAGTATATGTTGTATACTGTCGTGATGCTACAGTGTACAGGCGTGTGAATGATGAGACGTTCCGGGTGAAGCCCAATTCAATGTTCACTATGGCGTCATCGAAGAAATGAATGAGTCAATGAAGGAATGAGAACGAGTGAATTAATGAATGTGATGATGCATGGCGGTGACGGCGAAAGCTTTGGCGCTTGCGACTTGGATGAAATAGAAATGTTCAAAGTAAACAAACTTAGAGCAAATACGAATGGTAGCAGTAGTAGCAGCAGCAGCAGCGGCAGCAGCAGCAGCAGTATAGTCCACGTTTTTATAAGCTGGCTGTGCCGCAACTGTTGACAAGTTGAGTCGCTGCCTTCTTCGCAGTCGTTAGCGACAAACGCGTGTTCAAGAGAACTCTTCGAATACCAAGAAAATATCCTGCTTGCTACGCGGTGCGCGGTCTTCGTAATACAAAAAAAAAATACTCTGCGCAAACACTAATAACAAGAACGACGACAAGTAGGGTAACTCAATTTGCGCCCTACGTGCGCGCGTAACATTAATAATGATCTCACTCTCGCTTGCTCGCGAGCTGCCACACCGAGAGTGTCCCTCCTCGACACCAGAACCGCACTCGGGGTTGCGGTTCGCCCTGTCGCTGTGGTTTGCGGAGGGGGGGGGGCCGTGAGGGCGCACGCGGTTGGGGGGTTCGGGGGGGGGGCTGATCACTGAGCTGAAGGCCGAGAGCGGTGGTGTGGACGCGATTTTGACGCTGCCCGGCGATTCTATTCGAGCCACGCTTCTCGGCTACCGGCGAGTCTGGCCGAGCAGGCAGCGTGTGGAGGATGTATTGGGGAGGGAGGGGAGGGAGGGATGGGGTGGGACGGGTGGATGCGTGACTGGCTGTGTAAGGAGGCGTCTTGGAGAGAGGGAGGGAGGGAAGGGGGAGGGGACGGCGGCTGTACGAGTTGGGGACTTCTCAGCCGCGCCTCGCCTGCACCCCCACCCGCTCGCTCGTGCGTTCTCCAACCCACTCACCCCCACCCATCCGTCTCCTCCCCTTCCTGACCGCCCACCCCACAACCTCCTCTCCCCCCACCCCCATCCTTGTGCACAGCGATAGCGAGACGAGGCCGGTGACACAACTCGCATCGACTCAGGGCGCGCGTGGCGAGTGAGTCACCAGGGACTGGCGGAGTTTGGGGGCTCACTGCTCGCTGGCCACTCTTACCCAGGCATCGTCATCATCACCACCACCAGGCGCTTATCGTGAAAAATCACTCAAGAGCAAAGCATCACCCCCATCGCTCCCCTCCCTGTCGCCCGGCATGCAGTCTCACAAGTTCGGGAGCGCCGTTTACATTGAGAACGACGCCGCTGATGTTCACACACACACACGTGCGCACACACTCACGCACACACACGTGCGCACACACTCACGCACACACACGCGCACTCACGCACACACACGCGCACACACTCACGCACACACACACGCGCACACACGCACACACACGCGCACACACTCACGCACACACGCACACACACGCGCACACACACTCACACACACAAGCACACACACACACGCGCACACACACACACACTTTCACACAGACTCGCACACACTCTCACACACACCGCACTGTTTTGTGTCAAGGGGCTGAGTAGACCGATGTGAAGACTGATCCGTTGAGATATTTACTCGCGACCGATGGAGTTCGCCTTTGCCGGACATGGAACTTTCTCACGCTACTCTTTGGTTTTTTTCGGTAAAGTCACGTAGGTAAAATAAAATAAATGAAAACAACTAAATTAAATCACGACGTTTCGGAGGCAAGACAAGCTTTCTCACGCTGCCGAATTTCGCAGCGCAATGCGCTCACCACTGCGCCACCGCTCCTCACAGTCACCACACAAAGACAAAGATCCCCCGTGTAGCCTGAACAGACTGTTGGGGCAAGTGCCGCTCGCGAGCACCTATGAAGGCCGGCACTGCACACGAGGGGTGGGTGGCCAAAACCACGCCCGGCCGCCTTTGTCTCCACAGTGGCGATGTTTTACACACCGCACCAGGTACTCATTTGAGGCTGAGTCGACCTAGGGGAGACCCTGGACCGGTTTCAGATAATCGTCTCCGGTGTTTGCCCTGAGCGGGAATCGAACTCGGGTCGCCGGGTTCGTAGCGCAGCGTAGCGCTAACAGCTACACTACCCCTCCCCGCAGTGTGAACGTCATCGTCGTCATCCGTGGTTAATCCACTGCTGGATGAAGACGTCCTCAAGTCGCCGTCGCTGCTACGATGCCTTGATCTCGTGCGATGCGGCGGCGACAACAACAAGAACCCCACCGAGAATGGCTGCACACGAGCCGAGCCGCATGAGGTTCACATCTCTGGACGGGCTCCATCCCTCTTCTGGCATGTCCGTCACACTCGTCTCGACATGCCGTTGTCCCGTGCTCTCGAGCCGACGGAATTGCCACGCTGCTTAGAGGAGGGGGGGCGCCGGGGGGGGGCAGGGGGGGGGGGGCCATGCCCCCTCCCCAATGGCCAAAGCTACGAGTCGGGGCCCCCTTGTCAATCACCGCGAGATCTGTCACCAACAACGGTGTCAAAGAACAACAACAACGCTCATTTTGCGAAGACGGAGCGCCCCATACAGCGTTAAATATCCGAGACCGTGAGCGCAGCGATGTGGCGAGGCAAGAGGAGCCGCTGTGTAGAACAGCAGCCTGGGTTCGACCGTGCGAGACGAATCAAACATTGGGGCCCCACCTGAGCTGATAACGTCGTTACCGCGCCACTACACCGAGCGAAGGAGCTTTGGGCCTCTCGAATCGCGGAGTCGTCAGCACTTCGGAGGGGGCAAGTCACGTGGTTTTCAATAAATACCAGCGCGCTTGATTCTCGGAAAACTAAAAAAATAAATATATGAGTGAGTGAGAGAGAGAAATTCATAACAGTCTGGCATCCACCGCCCTGGTAAACCGTCTTGCGTTCGACTCGATATGCACTCGCAGAGGGGGGGGAGGGGGGGGGTCATAGCAGTAGCAGTAGTCCCTCGAAGCGCGGCCCCGCAATTGCTTGCTCACGCCACTGCGGGCGGAAGGGCATTGCCACCACTCGCGGGCAGCTCGAGAGAGCCCCGCTGTTGAAGGGATGTTGGCCCGCGCTTTCAGACGCCTCGGAGGAAGTGGCTGTACCCACACTTCACCCCACCGCATGCACCCTGCCGATCGACCAACTCGAGCATCACCCACCTACATTGTTGCTTTTACGGAGGTGTTGGACTATCCCCACGTGCAAGCGCAACATACTGATGGGTGAATGCTTGCACGTTCTCCGTGGCGAACATCGGGGTTGTTTCACCATACTTCACCAGCCTGGTCAGTGCGATGAGGCAGGGTCAAGGGCGATCGCCATGCAGGACCCGGTACAGATATCACTCGCCGCTGCCGTTAGCCGTGGCGGGTAACTCAGCTGAGCCGGGTTTTGCAGCGCTAACCACTGCGCCACCACTCAATCGCCGACTATCAACAAGCCGGGCTCGATTGCGTAACGAACGTGCGGCTTCCCAAACAACACTCTGGCAGGCTGCAGTACGAGGCCGCAAGAGTGGAGCGGTGGCGCGGCGGTTAGCGCAGCGCGCTCTGAAACCGCTGACCCAAATTGGCAACCGCAGCTCCCGTCGGCGACGAGAGACGTCTGAATGAGTCCCGGGGATCCCCTCCCTCAAACCGCCACCACACATTGACCAAGCCCCCCACCCCCCGCCCCGCACTAACCATCGCGGCGAGGTCTCATAACATCCAGCAGTGGATGGGCATGGCCGAGCGTGTATTATTAACCACGGCCATCGCCATGACGGTAATGGGATACCCGAGTTGAGGGTGGCTTTAAAATCCGTGACTGTTCGCTGTAATGCATTGCGCGCTCACGCGGCTCTCGCTCTCTCTCTCTCCATTCCTGAGTGGCGAATCATCACCGTAGTCGACTCAGTGACACGGACAACACAGCCAGTGTCTCTCTGTCTGGGGTTGGCGTTGTAATCGCACAGACCGCAGTCCTCCGATTGTTAGACGCCACTCTCAGCTCCCGGTGGTTTTAAATGGGGAGCGGTGGTGGAGCGGTTAGCGCTACGCTGCGCTACGAACCCGGCGACACCGAGTTTGCTTCCCGCTCACGGCCAACACCAAGTGACGATGATCTGAACCGGTCCTGGGCCTCCCCTAGGTCGACTCAGCCTCAAACGAGTACCTGGTGCGGTGTGTAAAGACATAATCACTGGGGAGACAAAGGCGGTCGGGCGTTGTGTTGCCACGGTGCCGGCCTTCATATGTGCTCGCTAACAGCCCTTGCCCCAACAGTCTTTTAGGTCTACACGGGGGACCTTTGTCTATGTTTGTATAACTGATTTGACGCCACGCACAGGTATTGGGACGCGTCTTACCTTGCGGAGCGTCTCGTAGCCCGGAGAAGGAGGTCGGTGACTACAGAGGACTGAACAATGTCTGTTGGAATTTATATTAGTCACCTTCCATTAGGCATACCCCACGATTTAACGACACAATAACGTCGTCCAACCGGCCTACTGTTAACCAGCAGCATTTGTTGACAGATTCCAACACTATCCCGGCTTCGCCCCTTTTTGTTCAGTTGCTCATCAGCAGTCCGGAGGGCAAAGCAAGAACGACTGGTCTACCGGATGTTATTGGCCAGTGCATGCTCTCGACACAGTGGGCTTGCAAGCGGCTCCAGCACGTCACCTTGCGCCCGACAGTTGCTTCGTCATTGAACTGACGGTCCATTATGGATATCGGTCGTGGTCTCAGCCTATCATCGATACGGGGTCGCTAAAATAGGTACACTACTGTGCCGTCCGGTAACGGCGGCTCGTTTGGTGGTAGTAGACTGTCGGATATTCTGTGCCGTGTCATAAGAACGTGGAATTGCAACCGCGCGTTTGAGCTTTTGGATGCGTTGAGCAGTGTTCGTTTATCGATCACTGTAATATTTAGCGTTTATTTTTCATTCATGACATGTTTAAGCAGGCGTCGTTGGAGCGGTGGCGCAGTGGTTAGCGCACTGTGCAACCTGAGTGAATCCTCAGTCATGGCCAACATCAGTGGCGAGTCCTGTCCCCCCACTACCATCCAACCTCCTTTCACGTCAACCCCCACCGACCCGAGTGGTAAAGTAATGCTGAAACAACGCCCACGATCAACCCACGGAGAGGCTTCTTATTGGTATGAAGTCATCTATCCGTACACAATTGCACAAGAAGTCGCGTCGCGACGCGCTACGCTTCGTACACATTTTACCAAAACAAACCGATACTACGCACTCGCGCGCGTGCCACGTGGGGTGAAGGCTGCGGGGTTTAAGGCATTACTCGTCACCATCGCCGCCATAGGGAAGCATCAATACTTCACGCGCCTAATACATGCGCAACTCTTAAACAACAACAACAAAAAAAACAAATCACAGCCTTTGGACGATCCACTCATGCATGGAAGGGCTCCCCACGCCTCCGAGGCAGTCGGAGTCCGTCGTTTGACAATAAAATACTTCACCAACCCACACTGGACCAGCGTGACCAAGCAGGCGAGGGACGTGGGAGTTGGGGTGAGACATTACGCGCCACTGATGCTCGTCGTGATCGGGAATCGAACTTGGGCGGTCCGGGTTGATAAGCGCAGTGCACTGACCACCCACCCCAATTGGCGCCTCCGCACGCAACCGCGTTACACGGCATTGTTACGTCCTGTATGTTGAACTTCTTTCGCACCGTACGTAGCCAACCGTACAA